CCCCAAAACCCCAAAACCCCAAAACCCCAAAACCCCGGGTGGTGAATACTAAATTGAGATTAAGTAATTACACCCAAACTGTGTTGAAAGGCTCAACCATCTTTGATAATAATTTATTTCAAATTGATCAAAACATTAGTGAACAAGCATACTCTTCTCTTTCTTTGCTACAAAATCCATTTTGCTTCATTTGTTAAGATGAGATCAGAAGGAGAAGAGTTTTTAAGATACCTCAAAGCCATTCGGTAGGAGGTGATTCACGAGTCTGGCTAAATTATAAGTATTGCATTCTCAAAATTTCAATTTTGTAAGAGAAGAAAAGGATTAAGAATTAAGATCTATTGCTTCAGATAGAATCCATAATGGCATTGAGTGAGCAAGAGAAATAATCCCCAAGAATTTAGAGGCCGATTTATGATAACTTGAGAACCTCCATTAATCTTATCCAAACTCTGGTATCCAATGTGTTTGAACCAAGTAAATTAAAGAGTCAAAATCTTATGGAACTCCAATAAGTGAATCCTTTCAAAAATTAAATTGAGAAACAATTAGTTAAAGGTGATGGCTGATTAATTAATAGTTATTAGCATTTCTCCTTCTCCTGCGCTTGCTGGCTCCCTTCTCATGCATCTTCTTGTGCTTGATGACGTTGCCTCTTTGCGAAAACCTCTTCAGACAGACCTTGCACTGGTAAGGCTTCTCGCCGGTGTGTTTGCGCATGTGATCGAGCAAGTCCCAGGTTTTGTTGCACACTTTGTTGCATTCATCGTACTTGCAGATGAGCACTGTGTTGGTGCGCATGGTCTTCTCGTTGAACAGGTACTTCCTCTCGTATTTATACCCTTTAAGTCGCTCGATTTCGTCGATCGGAGGCTGCTTCACTTTGATATTCATTTGCTCCAAATGTTGGGGGTTCAGGTACTTTGAATCCTGAACAGAGGTTCTTGGTGATGAACGATCAGATTTAGTTTTAGAGTTTGAAGAGTGTCTAAATATATGTCAGAGGGTTTGAAGTGTCATCACATTAAAGTCATGCTTGATGTGAGAAAGAAACAATATCTTCTAAAACATTAGAAATTAATTTGAAGATACATTTTTGTGAGCAAAATTTTGTTCCCAAAACTACGAAATAATGGAGCATCCACAAATAATGATTACAAATTGCATGTTGTGGTGGCAGAAATATCGGCATGACTTCACAGAAGCATATGAGTGTGTCCTGAAAGTTATAAATGCAGACAAGGACTATTTATTTTATAAGTCACGATGAATGCTAGTGATAGTTTTTGATGCACTATCTATGTCTAAATTGATCATCCACATAATTATCAAAATGTTATACTTTATAAACTATGGTTAATTTCATAAAAGCTCGGCACAAAAAGCACTTTTATAAGAGTGATTTCTCGTTTGCTATCCTATTTTTCTGAGATCGAACAGCAAAGTTGTAGTCTTACTTAATGATAATTTCAGATGCTTCTTTTTGTATTTTGTTAAGCTGATCACACTGATCATTCAGAGACATCTTTGGCATCTATACAACAAAGTAAGACTCTTCCTCAATTCCATCCAAACAAGTCTTAATGAAGCGTATTCTCACCTTTGAGTTTGCAACATCTATAGAGTAATCCCTCTCTCGCTTGTCAATGAACACTTCTTTGCCGTTTGAGTCCAAGGGCATTGCAAGAGTCCTTGTCTTGCAACAAAGTGGCATCATGAGGGCTTCAATGATGGCCTTCTCTAGAGTCTGAACTCTGACTGGGAGTTTATCAATCATGGGTTTGAAATAGTTAAAATTATTAATTTGGATTAAAAATTTTCTTTATATATTATATCAGATTAATCTGCGAAACCCTTCATGCTATAATTGAACTTTAACAAAGAGAGAAGCCTAATTTTATTTAATTTTGATAAGTTTTATTCGCAAGAGGTAAGCTTGGAACTTCTGATCTTGATTTTATTCTTCTTAGTTTTGATATATCCATTACTCTAATCCTAAACAGCAGGAATCACAAAATATGAACTTTATTTGGCTGAAGACAATGAGGTTAGACCTCCCTCACAAGCTGAAGAGTTGTTTGTTCCTAATCAGGAAATGCTGCAACAAGAAATGCAAAAATAGGATTTCCTATGTAGATTTGATCAATGTTTGCAACAATTAAAGTCCATCTCTTTTATTTTTGCGGATTTCAAACAGATGCAAAAATGGAGAAGTAGCATACACTTTGATATTTCTAAACTAGAGCAGATGATACCTCATTATTTCTTTCATAAGGGATTAGCATTTCAAACATTAATATTGGGATAAGTCTTCTAAGCTCCATTTAAATTATAGGGATTGACTTACAAAGCAAGTCATATTCTTAATTTAAATTGAGCTGAAAAGACTCAGAGTAACAGTTTACTACATTTTAGAAACAATTCAGAATTAACTCAAGTAACCAGACCAATCTCGATGAAATGATATGAACAGAGTACTGGATCTTCTCGCCAATCTTAGACGCCTTCAGTGGTACTCATCTTGAAAAGCTCACCTACGGAAATGGTGTATACTGATTTTGACAAGGCTTCTGAAATATTAAGTATTCACGTAGCAATTATGAAATCTATTCTGAACTTCTTGATGAGTTTTAATACGATATGACTCTGCTGACTCTCCTAAGTTTGAGGTTATGGTCAGATAATAGCATAGACTTATTTTATGGTAAACTTCTCATAGATTTCAAAACTGTGTGTTTACATCTGATAAGACGCTTCAGGATTGCTATTGTTTACGATCTTGAACTCTGTACGCTTCTATTTCTAATTTCTCTGGTCTAAAAAAATGAGCTCCCAGTTGAGAGCCTGCATGATTTGTCAAATTTATACTCTACAAAGTCGAATAGACTGTGTAATAATTATAACATGTACGACACAAAAGTTAATTTTGATAATTAATGTATTCACTAAATTCCAAACTTAAATAATCCCAGAAAGCTAGTTAGCTCAGAAGACTATCTTTAACTCGAAGAAGGTGCTTCCTGAGCCAAATTATTCATCTCACACTCAGAACGGGTCTGAAAGATCTTTCTCAGCTCAATGTCGATATGAAATTATGATGTTGCCCACCGCTTAGAATTTTCAGCTGAGGGACCATTCTGGGAATTTTAAGAAGTCTCTCTTAAACACCTCACAAGCATATGATACCAAAAAGAAGCTTCTAAACTATTAATCATGTATCTCGCACTAAGCATGGTTACTCTCACCGTGAAATTATAAAGGTTGAGTACCACGAAGTATTCATCTTTACTTACATTGCGAACTTTAATTCTATGAAATTTTTCAGGATGGGGATAGAAATATGAAGATTACCAAGAATAATTTTTGTCAGAAGCCTCACAAGGCAAGCAAAAAATGAGAAGACTAGTCCAAAGAGTAATCTTCGCTGCCAATGTTTTGTCCATATGAATGATGAGAGCACAAATTATGGAAATAGATATCAATGTTATGTACACATGTTGGATCTGCCCTGAAAATTTTAACTTGGCTACTTTTTGTATATAGTTTTGGAATCTGAACTATAATATCAGGTGAAAGTCATAAATATGATGAATAAAAGCATTATGAAGCTAAAACAACCTTAAAGTTTGCATTATTCAGCCTCTACATTGAAAAACCTAAATTTTTACTGGAGCTGTTTGAAAAATTTGCAAAATTTAATAATTGAGCAGGACTCATGCGACCATATACCTCTAATCATTTTGGTGCTTAAATAATCAATAAATGAGTCAATAATAATTAGTAAACATGTGGCCATTAAAATGGCCTTACCATTTGATAATTATGATAGTTTTTACCTTCTGAAATAAAAAATTATTGGTTCTAACTGTCAATCTTCTAGCCACAAAAGAAGCCAAACAATCGAAGAGAAATGCTTTATTGCATAGTAAAACCCCTCTTCTTTTATTTTTGAAGCTCAGAGGCATCACTTTCAACCGCAATCTTGGCATCTGACTTGATGAGGGAACCGATTGATGAAAGATATGGTTTAGACTGATCAAACACTTTCTTTTGCTCCAGCATTAGAAATCATGATTTGATAGCATGCTAGTAGTCTTAGCTAGTTAGTAGGGACGAACCAACTTATAATATTGCTATGAGATTTTGGACAAAGAAATTTACGGTTTCTTAGTTGATATAAACACTAATAACAAAGAAATACAAGTGCTAAAAGTCCATCAACAGCCCCAGCTTTTACAGGAGTTGTATCTAAGGATATGATTAATGCTTAGGACTACACCCATAACTTTGAAGGGTCTCTACTCTTTAAGCAGACACAATATTCGAATTTACGAGTAACTAATGCTCCATTTCAATAACAAAATATTATAAGGGGTTTTGGGGTTTTGGGGTTTTGGGGTTTTGGGG